GTTGTTTGGATTTTTACATTCCGAAGTCTTATACCATCTATATTGTGGAATATTAAATAGAGATTTTCATCCCCTAAAATAAATTTAAAAGGTATATTTTATGACAATAATACAATTTTAAATAATGAGCTAAATGAAATATTATACTCAACAAAGTTTTGAATGACAAAGAGAGTGCAGTCACACATTCAAAATAGAGACTATATATTGAAGCACAATAACCAGTTTTGTTTTATTTGTATGGAAAAATCACATAAAATGAGTTTAGACAATTAAAATATGACAAACTTTAATGAATTAGCTATAAATAAATTTTAAATCAAAAGCTCTTATGTAAAAGAACATTTTTAATTAAAAGGAAAATTTTAAAATGATACATAATGCATAATTTTAACTTTTGAAAAATTTTACCATACATATACGTATAGCATATTGCGTAGATATATAGTTACAGCAAAAGACGAAACTGGGTAGCTTTCATCATTGTTAGGTGAACATCAACAATCACAGAGAAACTTTGATGTCTGAAATATTTATTAAATATCCTTATTTATCACTTACACTTGGAAATGTTTATAATCAATATGGACTGATGGTGAAAGTCAAATAACTTTTTTTTTAATGCAGTAAAGCACTGTTTATATGTTTTTCAAAGGACATATGTAAATTGATGTAAAGATTAAAAGATGTATGATTGAAAATTAGAATAAAAATAATAATTTTGATAATGTGACAGCATTTTAAATTTGGCAAGTAACATTGTTGGTATAGAAAACAATCGAGGCAGTCCTTTTCTGCAAACAGTCTAGTGATCTTGAAATGACTACCTCATATTCTTATCTCATACCAATGACTTTCAATCAGCTAAAATTAAACACATTTTTGAAGCCTCACTTAGAGTGTTTCAGATTCTGACAGAATATTCAAGTACTTACATGAAGAAGAAAAAAAGTAAAGCCGATAATTCATGTTTTTTGATTTGTTAAAAGAACTATTTCAACACTGGATAGACTAAGAGTAAACTGGGACTGCAACAAAATTACGTAAAAATGAAAAAAGTATATACTGCCTATTTTTTTTAGTTATAATAACATCTGTTGACACTTAGTATGTATTAATGGTGTGTATTGAGAAAATCGTGTTACATGAGCATCATCATTTCTCACTCACATCAGAAAATGTCAGCATTCAGTATGCCCTGATGGTATAAGTCGAATAAAAGTTCTTATTAAATATAATTTACATAAGCAAGAAAAAAAATTATGATAGTATTTTTGTTAAATGCTGATAATAAAGTTTTTGATAAATGTAAGCATTTCTGTTTTAGATCAGCAAATTTAGAGACATTTAGCATGCAAGGATAAAAATAATATGCTTTTAAAATTTTTTTAAGCAGCATTTACTGACAATGCATACTGAACATTGATATGTGTCATTGTGATTAAGTAAGAAAAATAATGTTTAAAAAAGATACAATATGATTGCTGACATTCACCAGATTATAGACTTTCATGATAACATACACATCATATAATAAAAGCAAGACGTAAATTAATCAGAAAGTATAGTCATAAAACATTTTTAAAACAAAATAAATTATTTGAACTTTTAAAACTAACCTTTAGAGAAGCGTGCAGGATAAAAATAATATGCTTTTAAAATTTTTTTAAGCAGCATTTACTGACAATGCATACTGAACATTGATATGTGTCATTGTGATTAAGTAAGAAAAATAATGTTTAAAAAAGATACAATATGATTGCTGACATTCACCAGATTATAGACTTTCATGGTAACATACACATTATATAATAAAAGCAAGACGTAAATTAATCAGAAAGTATAGTCATAAAACATTTTTAAAACAAAATAAATTATTTGAACTTTTAAAACTAACCTTTAGAGAAGCGCTTTTTTAAGTACTGCACTTGTTCATTGACATTAGAAAATTTTCCCTGATATTCTAAGGCTTCTTCAGTTATTGTATTTAAAATCTGTAATGGAAATTAAACTATAAATTACATGTATATAACTTAACTAAAATAATTAAAAAAGAATTTTTAGCAGTATACCTATTCTATGTCAGAAGAAAAAGAAGGAGAAAGAAGGAAGAAAGTAAGGAATAGCGTAATCAGATGTTTAACATAGTATAAAAGACTGAAAGAAAAAAAACTATATATTACATTTTTAAAATAAGTCAAATGTTTCAATAATTTAAGCAATATATAATATTTATAAAAGTAAGTGAATTTTCCATATGAAATAGAGTCATATTTATAAAAGTAGCATTAGATTATTTATTTTAAATACATATTTTTATATTTAAGAGTTCTCCCTTTCATGGCTTAAATGTGAAGAAACATTAATTTTTAATGATTCTATAAAAAAATATAGCTGAAAGCCACTTTTGAGTATAATAAGTGGCAAAAGGTATAGAAAATGACAATATAAAACTTAATTTATTCTTTATATATACTTTAATTATTTTTTAAATATACTAATAAGAAGACAAATTACATAAATTGATAATAATTTCCNGGATTACAAGTCTAACAAAAAGTTTTGGATGACATCAGTTTTATTTGAAGACTATGTAAGAAAATTGGATCAGAAATTCTTCGCTAAAAAAAGAAAAGTGATACTCTTTATGTATAAATGCACAGCGCATAGTGATCTACCTAATTTGAAAGCAGTAAACTTGCAGTTTCTCCCGTCAAACACAACAGCAAAGTTGCAGCCGATAGACCAGGGTATCATAAAGTGCTTAAACAGTCTTATCGTAAATGTCCTGTCAGAAAAATGATCTTAAATATTGTAAGCATTTGGAAGATTTGTAATTGATAAGCATTAATTAAATAATCCGATAATATTTTGGAAGTCCAAACCGAAACTAACGGTAAGTCGAACTTCCGATATGTCGAAGTTTTTTGTCAGTCCCATCAGATTCGAGTTATCGCGACTTCACTGTATATGATCTGTTTTTGTGGGAGTGAAACAGAGAATTTCAGGAGAAATACCCTTTTCAAACAGAAACTAGTATATCAAAAACTTATTTTTAATGATTTTTGCTATTTTATATAATTCTAAAGGTTTGTTATGTCCCTTTACCCAATTTGATAAGATAAATGATTCTTATTACAAAAGAAAATACCCAAAAGCAAATTTTAGTTCAAGTATTTAATAACCAAGTATCTGTTAAAATTTTTGAGTACTACATGAATTTTAGACATTTAACATAGTGCTTACAGTTTCTCAATTAAAATTTCAACAAAGTTAGATAGAGCTTCTTTGATTACAAGCAATGTTAGGATTTAAATAATCCTACTGAAGATTTTAACATATCCCTACTTATAAATAAAGTCAATTATAATCATCATAAGAAACATAGGTTTTTAAGTCATTTTGGAGTCTAGGATAAGTAAAGAATTACATTATTTATCTTAAAACAATACAAAAAGGGTTTGTGAAGTGGAATATAATAATTATTAATATCTATTTAAAAAATTGATTTAGTATCATTACTTGTCATTGAAATTTTATGCTACACATAAATATTTTAATTAACAGGTTTTAATTTGGATAACATTTTCAGACATTCTTTGAACTAATTAATAAAAATATTTTACCTGCTTGATGTTTATGGTAGGGAAAAAACCTTGGATAACAACATATATGGAATCATCTAAACAATCTTTGCAGAATTCATTCAATACTTTTTGTTTTGACCCAATTCCATAGAGCAATATGTTAAAACCTTTCCTACAAAAAATAAACAAAATTACATTATTTTTTCAAGCACAAAATTTCTTTATGTTTTGTTTCAGAAAGAACCCAATATAAAAAATTTTCTAATTAGGAATAAAAGAAGAAACAAACACTTTAAATCATATGAAACATATTATTGCAGAAAAAAATTAGATATTTTCAAAAACTTTTTAATTTAAAATATACTTTTTTTTTTAAAAAAAAAAACAAGAGTGATGAAAATTGCAAAGAGCATTACATATTGAAATACAAATCAGAGTTCAGATAAAACAACTATAGTTATTTGTAAATTTAAGATAAACCACATATACTATGCCCAAAAAGTAAAAAAAAAAAAAAAATAGCCTTTCCATCAATTTATACAGTTAATGGTTTGATTGTTATAGTTTGTAAAAGTATTAAACTATTTTTTACATTTAATAGAACTAAGTATAAATAAATGCATATTTTCCCACTTTTTCATTTAAATTAATCTGATTAAATATGAATTTTTTATCAAAAATTAAAATGTTTGCAAACTAGTTTTAGTTTAAAATCTGTGGCAAACAAAAAGCACAATACAACAACTTATATGAATAACAAATTGATTCTTTAACTATCTGAAGATTAGTTTTGGCTTCTTTTGAACTTTGATTGATAGGTCTCCTGGAACATTATTATACATTCAGGGAAAAAGTAATGCACAGGTACTGAAAAACATGCACAAATTGGCACATATTTGTAATGCTTAAAAAGGAGGGCTATTTTCAAGAAAACATTACACTCCCTAATAGTAGTATGAATAACTTGGCATATATTGTGCAAACTTATACACAGTTTTGATGCTTGCAGGGCCATTAAAATTTTTTTTAAAAAAATAATTTGACATTTTTGTAAAGATTTAAAATTTTTCTTCTTGTGTATCATCTACAAGTCCTTCCTTCAAATTTTCGTCAACTAATTATATTTTTAACAGTTTTTTAACCCACTGACAGTTCTGCACTTAAAAAGTCATATTTTAACCTGCAGTCTTCTCCGCATAGCAAAATTAGTTTTTCCATGTTAATAGATAGGGGAATAGTGTATAGGGAGAAACATTCTTCCAATTTTGCCCATTTTCCAAACTGCCAGTGGATAAAAATTTGATACATTATTGTTTTTACATTTGTTTATAAATATCAATAGAACATTAATTGCTAAGGAAATGGTTAAACAAAATATCAAAAATAAATGAGAAGTTAAATGACAGCATAAAAGAAAATAAAGAAAAAATACATTATTATAAGTTTAAGTTAATAAGAATTATAATAATAATATAAGAAATACAGTATAAGTTAATGAGTATCATAAGTTAATGTGAAGATGAGATACTTATGTGGGTTCTGCAAAGCTTTTTTTAGCAGAAAATTTGTTAAATTTATGTTTTTGAATGTCGTTTTAAGCAAATAATGTTGCATAAATCATTAAATTTTTAAGTCTTAAGAGTGTTATCACAGCAAGGTAAGATAAAAAAAAAATCTAATTCTTTTTAAAATCAACTATGATTATCCCATGTACTATTAGTTGAGCAGAAACTGCCACTGGAAACTTTGTACAACACAAATATTAGAGGCAATAGAAATATAACTAACTATGCAAAAAACAAAAAATATCTTTTTTAACAGATTGCAGAAATGTAGAAAAAAAGAGAAAGAGATTTGCTTAGTTTCTTTATAAGAAAAAAAAGTCCAGAAAATAGACATTTTTTGTTAACTGATGTTTGGATATAGGATTTTGTACTGTATATATATGTACATTTATATAAATACATAGGGATCCATAAAAATATATAATTGGTAGAAGACAGGACAAATTTATAGGCCAAACATATTATGGAATACATGTAAGTAGTATAATGCATAATAAGTAGTGTAAGTAGTAGTATAATAAGCAGTGCAACGGCTTTTTGTTTTTATATAAAATTATACTAAAATATTGGGTAGTTACTACAGTTTTTAGATATCATAGTGACTGGGATTTATAGGCCCCTATATATATATTACCTAACACGACATATATGCAATTCAAGTATAAAAAAAATCAACCTACTTTAACAGAAGCAACCACTTTCTAAATTGAGATTTATAATGCTTGAGTAGAAGCTCCTTATGTTTTATGTGGTTCTCTGAGGCCCTACTTAGAATTTCTTGCAATTCCTCAATATTAGTTGTTTTTACCTTTAAATTAGATAATGTTCTATTTGAGGTCACAGACTTCTTTTGTCTTTGAGCAGAAAAATAAGTTTCAGGGAAACTGAGCTAAAAAATAAGAACTAAGTCAGTTAACACTTGAATGGAAAAATAATTTTATAATTTCAGTAAAAAATGTTGAGCATTATTTTTCAGCTTACTTAGGTTGATGGCATAATAAAAATGACTGAAATTATTTGCATTGTAACTATAATTACCAAACTATAAAAATGGAACGGCGCTTAACTATATAAAGGGAAAAGTTTTAGGATAAAGAAGTTCAGTTCTTAATTGGTGAATCCCCTTTTTAAGTTTCATAAATGATGTAAAACTTTTACAGCATTAAACAAAGAGATATAAAATAAGAGTACATAATAAACTTATATACATTAAATAAAATAGTTTGTCTTTCTTTTAAATATTTAATTCTCAATATTGCTCGCTAATTATTAAATGCTTCAATAATGAGTATAAATTATAAATTTTATACAAATACTAAAAAGTTGTAAAGAAAATAATATAGCAAATAATATAATTATGTACTGTTGTAGAAAAAGAAATTGCAAAAGTAAGGGACCTGTTCCATGGTACAGAGCTTTAGGAGCCGCTTCAAATTTCTCTATCTTTGGAGAAGTTTATCGTTTTAAGTTAACGGTTGTTAATCTTTTAACTGTGAATTGACATCATTATTCTTTCTTTAATAATAATTCTTGTATCAATATTTTAAATATTTTTTTCAGTAAATTAAACAAAAAAAAAAGTTAAAAAAAAATAATAATTACAAAATACAATTCATGATTTTTGTAAATTAAGAGAACATTCGAATGTGGTTTGATCGATTGTTCAACTTTAAAGGCACCAAACAAATTCTCTATTTCTAAATGTATATTTTAAATGAATTTTTATTTTGATGACAAAATATTGTGGGGAAACATTTTGTATCAAAATGAAAAGCTTGTTTTCAAAACATTTGAATACTAAGCAAAATTGTTTATTTATAACAAAAAGACAAGGAAAGAATATTTTCACTCTTAAAATGAAAATTGATTAAACATGTTAGTTTGTTTTTGAACGGCATCACCAGAACAGTTTAGAACGGGCTCCAAAAGCTCCATGCCAGGGAACCAACCCAATCTCAGTTCTAAAATATTATGGTTTCATTTTCATTGTAATTGATAATTTTTTTTCTAACATTTCCCAAAAATAACACAATCTAAAAGCATTTCAGCTACTTAATATTTCAAACAGTTTTATAGAAAAAATAATTAAAATACAAAAGTGATGATAAATAAAAAAAATTACATTGCAAAGTTTCTCTTTTCTACGCTTACTCAACTCTCCATTTTCCTTATTGATTACATCATTGTTTGACAGGTTTTCATCATCTGTTGTTTCACCATTAGAAGCAACATCCTCATAATCAGATAATTCATCACTGTCTTCAGGATCAGAATCCACTTGTGCAATTTTAAGGTTTGCAAGCTCTGCAATTGCAATTAATAACATTTTACATTGTTATATAACATTTTTTAAACAAATGCTTTACATGTATTTGCTTTTTTTGAGAAATAAATAATATTTAAAAAAAAATTAATATACTTTTAAATACATCTGAAAAATTTTGAATTAATCTGATTCCTTCTCTAAATATTATCAGCAATAGATTTCAAATTTAAAAAAATCAATTATTCCTTCAACATCTATTCTAAATATATAAATATGAAAATATGTTGCTATTTGTTATTTAAACTTATGAATTATCTCTGCAATATTAACTTATAAAAATATTGTTAGGAAACAATGATCGACAAATAGTTAAAGATAAAAACTATTTTTAAAAATGAAAACTAAAGTCCTTCTCAGTGCACCAATTTTTATCTTTAGGAAACAAATAATTTATAATATTTAAAATGCTTGAACATCAAATTTAACTAAGCCACAGCTTTTATAAATTCCAGTTTATTGTAGTAAGTTCTAAACTATTATAGAGTAAAATAAATATCCTTTTGTATTTTCTGTTATGTTACATTATGCGAATAAATGATGAAAAAAACATATAATATTTAATTAAGTTAACAATTATCTACCCCTTAGATTAAGTAAATGATATGTCACCGTGTCATAGATCTTATTCTACAACCCATTTTATTTTAATAATTATGCAAAATAAATATAAACTTAGAAATCAATACATAAAATAGCACTACAAATCCAATGTATATACATATATATATATATACACAGGGTTATTCATAATTCCCTCTGTTTACTACAACCTTATGTTCACTACAACTGGCTTCAGTGGTACATGTTACTGCCATCTACCGGCAACTGCTTAAATTAAAACTTGAATACTTTCGGAATAATTTCATATGTTCTTTTTTGCATATTTGTCTTCGTTTTTTTACTATAACGCTTCGAAACCACAGAGGAAATTATGAATAACCCTGTAGATATATTGGTTAAGTTAAAAGTTTAATACTTAAATATGTCAACAATCAACCATTAAAAATCTTTGTCACTTACATTTTCAAATAAAATCTGCTTAAGGATGAAGCAAAGCTTGCTTAAAGAAAAAAATGCAAACAACTAAATTATATTTTACAAATCTTTAGGGAAAAAAATGACACTAATGAGAAATAAAAATAAAAAAAATAATAATAAACAGAAAATAACAAATATAAAAACAAAAAAACTGAAGATTTTGTAAATGTTTCACAGATAACTATTTGTCTAAAACGTTGGTTTTCACAAATTACAAATTCTACCACATGATTATGAGTTTAACAGCTCAAAGATAGTATTTTTCATCCACTTGTAAGAATAAATAGTAATTCTCTTTGCTAGCAAGTTAGTGCTAAATTGTCAGTCATTTGACCTTGATTCTACACACCAGTAAAGATTTTTTTTTTTACTGTTAAAAGTCACATTTTAGTTGATTTAGAACAGTGGACCACTAGTACTTTCAAATGCTTAAGACACAACTAAAATAAGAGTAAAATAAATGGGTTACTTTATATTACCTTGTTTTAGTTTTAAGCGAGCAGAACTCTTATTTTCAGCAGTATTTTCTATTTTCGCAGAGCACTTTCGTTGAGATGAAGGAGTTCCTGTTTTTGGTGTTCCAGCTGCAATTAACAATAATAAATGTTAATTACTTTTATAATCATGTCTCAAATTAGATAGAGGAGCTTAAAAATCAGTAAAATTGAAAAATTCTAAATTTTCTTGATTTAAATTACAATTCAGTTTAGTTCATGTAAAATAAACAAACTTTTAATTTTGGGATAATTTTTGTAATCTTATTTTTTGGCAAAAATTAAAATAGGAAAAAAGATAAAAAATAAAAATGCTTTTATCATATTGTTTAAATAACACAACGATATTTTTCAGAATCCCAGTTTCATTTCTTTAATTTCAAAACACATATAAAAAATGACATTAAAAAAAAACAAGTCAATTTCGGAATACAACTAACGAACATAAAAAGAGAAACTTATTGAAAAGATATTGGATTTTTCAAATAGATGTTATAAGGCAAGTGTTTTAACAAAATAAACATGCGAATAAAAGTTTAATTTTAGAAGGAAATGATTTCATACAACCTTTAGTTTTTTGACGAACTGAACTTTCATTTCTCCTAGGTGTTACTACTTTTGTAGGAGATTTCTTGGAAGACCGAGGAGAGTTTTCAACAGATGCTATTTCTGAAATAATGAAGAATAAACTTAAAAAAAGTATAGACAGAATAACACATTTAAGAAAAAGATAAAATCAGACTTTTTTCAAAAGTATTGGTTGAAGAAAAATAATTGCTAAATTATCTTCTCAAAATTAAGAACTTAAGAAGAACATGGTACCATCTTTCCAATTTTTTTTATTTAATCTTGCAAAGAAAGAAAAAAATTTAAAAGGCATTTAAATTTTTTATTATTATTTAAAAACAGTATTTTAAAAAGGCTATTCTTAGTGTCTTGGCGAAAGTAGTTGGCATGAAAAGGTAACAGAGTGGACAATATCTCCATTATTTTTATCTGAATACCTGATATGCTAATTCTTCAAATCTAATGGGGGAAAAAAAAAGAGGAGAAAAACCTGTCTTTATTTATGAAAAGAAATATCAACTCATCATCTGCTTACTTTGCATTTTTTTAAAAAATTTATTTTATTTTATCAATGATATTTACTTTATTATATTAAACATTTAATTAAAGGTCATTTAATAAATAGTTTCTAAATATTGTTAATTTATTATTTTTTTATTGAATAAAGCACATTTTTAACCTATTATTTTCTGAAAAAATTTATTTTCTGGGCTTGCTGAAGTCCTGACGATTTTGCACATGAGACTTTCTACTGTATCAGATTGACAAAATTATAAAAACAAATATGAAACGATTTCCACTGACAATTATCAAACAATATTGAGAATAATTAAACCATAAAGATAATAATTAAGTAACTTAAGGTAGTACAAAAACCATTAAGCAATAAAATGTACTTAAATATACAGAAATAATTTCAATAATTCAATTAAGCAGCTGCAATAAACAAGGCTGCTAATTTTGTGTAAATAGTTTAAATGCAATTAAGTCAAAGACATTTCTCAGAACTATCGATGGTTAGAGTCTAGAATTAGGCGCTCCATTGATCTCAGAGCTTTTACTGTCAATAAAATCTTCCATCTAAGTTGACTTCTTATTGTTAGTAAATGTCACTGTCATGCCTCCATGTTGTGATGGTGCGGCGATCAAATGTAGATGTAGTGAATAAAGATATGTGTGAGAGTTCCCACGAAGTGGCTGTGAAGAAAAGATGTTCTTTTTGTAGGACTCTTGGACTCTGAGAAATTATTGTTTGGACAGTGCGATATCACAGTCACTTTTAAGTTATTTTCTTTGTTTTCTGCATGAACATAAAAATTCATAAAAATAAGAGAGGAACCGGATTGTAAATTCGTATTCTACAGATAATTAAATACTTTTTACCTAATTATGTAAATGTTATATTATTATTTTACAAATACACCTTTAATTAGGATGTTATTAAGTAAAAATTAGTAACTTGAGCAATGATACATAATAATTATAATATTTTAAAGAAGTAAATAAACCAAAAATTGACATACCTTTAAAAGTCTTGTGCTTGTTAGGAGTAACTTGGAACAGGTTTTTGCCCTCAATATCATTTTTTTCATCAAATAAACCTTAAAATATGTAATAAAAAATGCTTATTTAGGTTAAATATGACACAATACTATCATATGTCATATTTACAGTTAGTAAATATCAGACCCATATAATATGTGTGAACTTGCGAACGCAATTTGGAGAAAATTTGTCTCTATTGCAAAAATTCCAACTGTTTTATTATTACTAAAGAGTAAAAAAAAAATAATCCACTTCCTCCAAGAAAGTCGAGAAAAAGAAAATCATATTTACTCTTTTTCCAACAATGTAAATGCAATTTAAAATCACACATTGTGATTAATGCGATTTAAGATTTATGTAAAATTGCACATAGTATCGCACGTCATGTTTCATATTTTCACTATTCAAAATTGCACATAGTATTTCGTATTTTCACGATTTAAAATTGCACATCATGTTTAATATTTTCACGATTTAATATCAAATATCACCTTTCGTATTCAAGTGATTTAAAAGCCACTATTAAGATTTGTGTTTAAGTGACTTGAAAATTATATATTGGAATTCTTATTCAAGCAATTTTAAAATTAAATATTGAGATTGGCAATCACGCTATTTTAAAATAAAACAATGATATTCATGCTCACATTATTTTAAATCTAACATCGGGATTCATATTGATAAGATTTTACAATTAAACATTGAGATTTGCATTTATGCGATTTTAAAACTAAATATCGAGATTCATATTCGCGTGACTTAAAAATCACACATTGAGATTTATATTTAGACAATTTAAAATTAAAAAAAATAATCTAGTATTGATATTTGTATTAAAACATTGAAAACGTTCTGTGGATAAATGTTTCCTACATACTTTTTTCTTGCTTAAATTTCAAGTATTTTTTCAATTATTTAAAAAGTGTTTTGCACATCAAGTTTACGGATTTCTACTTTCAGCTCTTTTGATTTTTCACCAAACTCAACACCGTATTATGACTCATTATAGAGTTCGATAAAAACTAAACACAAAAAAAAATCCCTGATTTTCTAACAAATTTTCCAAAATGAGGGTTGAAACTAGTTACAAGAGTTAATCAATGCATGCAGCAAGTTTTTCAATAGTAATTTTGCTTTGGAGGAAAGTTTTTCATTTATCTAAGTCTGGTAAATACATTTAGATTGCTATTGAAGTCCTAAAAAAATCACACTAAATACAATAAAAATTAGTTGAAAGAGCAATAATATACCTCCAGAAGGTTGATACTCATCCAAGGATGGCTCAGAAAATAATGGTGTGGCTTTAAGTCGTGAATAAATTAAATCCCTTTTTGCTTTATCTAGAAAATCAAAAATTGTACATTATTAATTGATTATTTTAAAATGTAATTGACAACATTTTATTGCAAACTTTGATAGGTAAAAGAATCAGTTATTTTCCAGCACAACAAACTGAGTTTTCTATGCTATTCATTTGAGGGAAACATATGGAAGGATGCTTTAGAACTAATTTTCCACAATAACTCAGACAGATATACATATCATTAAATAATTGTGAAATAAATAGCCAAGTAATTACTGACATTATAGCAATAAAATTTTGTTTATTTTTCATGAAGTCCAAATTAGCTGATTTTATGCATAAAAAAGATCAGCAATGTATAAAAAAATTGTAAAGAAATAGAATGTTAAAAAATTTCTGCAATTTATTTTAATGTGTAAACACTGAATAACCTAAATCACACTTTCTGCAGACATGAATATTTTTTACACAGCAATCTAACAGTTGAAAAATTTCAGATTCTTTTTCTTTCAGAAAGAGATTTGTGTTTTCCCATTATCAGAATTGTGATAAATCGAATATACAAAATTTAATAAGGATTACCAGTCTCCTATAATTCACACAACTGTAACGGCCACACATGATTTCTAATTCACACATTTCCAAACCATAACTCCATGGCTGAACTTGTTACATGATTTTTGACAGGCAATGTAAGGAACCTCACAAATTTATTCTTCATTGCTTATCAGTATGCAAATTCTTAAAAATCAAACACTAAAAGTTTGGAGGTTAAACCTCCTTGAAAATAATAAAATTTTCACCAAACTTTTGCTTTTTCTGAAAACTCCAATAAAACAATTTTCTAGAAGCGTATGAAGAATTTCACTTTATATCCAAGTTGCACTCAAAACAACAGAATATTAACCCTGGAGTTTTATTTTAGAAAAATTTGCAAGTTTAAAATCCATTTGGTGCCTTGGCGAAGCAAATCACGATACAGAAATATCCCATAGTTAGCAGAAGTTATTACTTTTAAATAAAATATATAATTTTCGGTAGTTATCATATTTTAGAATGGAGTATGACACTAAAATATTCCTTACTGAATTTTTTTGTGGGACTCTTTTTTACGATGTTCTTCAGTTTCTTAGGAGATAAAATACGATCAGGAATATTCTTGTGCATTTTTATTTAAACAAAGAAATATTTCTTAAACTTCAAAAAAGTTTAGAAATATGACGAGCAAAATAAAATGCCGGGAATTTGACGCTCTGCGTTTTTCTTTCATTAAATTTGAGAAGGTTTCTTACAAACGCTTAAACCTAATCTAAGAGGAATCCCAGTTTGCATGCTTGACTTTTATGACCTATGACCAATCCAGAGCTGCCATCTATAGCTGGGATTTTCATTAATTAATTAGATATAATTTTACTACTTTTTTCTTCTTTAATAAACATGTTTTTTTTTTTAAATAAACACAATTGTAATCTTACACTCAAAATCATGCTTTTTTTCCCGATTAGGTGGAATACAAAAATTTTAGCTGAATTTTTCTGAGCCCAATGGTGTGGAGATTACAGACGTAGCACAATAGAAGCAGAATTTATGTATATATTATAGCTGTGAGTTCTTACTGATAATGAAAATTCCAATTTTTACTACCACAAAATACTACTTGGCCAATAAAAATTCCAACTAATTCCAATGTACTACTACTTACAACACCAACAGAAGTTCCATGTCTGATGACATTACAAGCTGAAGTTAAATGCTTGGCAGTTACAATCAGAGTTTTTCTTTTCATTTCCACCAGTCCCGCAGTGGACTGATCGTTAAGACACGGTTCCCTGCAGGTATCACCGAAGTCAAGCATCACTGGCTATGGTCAGTGCGCGGGTGGGTGACCACTTGGACCAGCCTGCGTAGGGACCGAGGGTGTGCGATATTGGTCCTAATTAAACTGTTCTACCGTAAAGTGCTCGATTTCGCGTGCAGGTATTCGGGCTACCGAAGCGGGGGTGCCATCCCCTCTGCAGAGGATCAAAATTGTGATGGCATGTCTTCGGATCATCCTCAGGGGTGTTTCCCAGACCGTCGCCAATAGCCCATCGTGCAGCTCTAGTGCGACGTAAATTAACTACTACAACAACAACATTTCCACCACTTTACTAATTATATAAATTTTTTCTTGCAATTCTGCTTCTCAGGACAATGCAAAATAAAATCGTTTCTAGGCTGTTAAAAACAAAATTTACAGCCAAAGTTTATTTATTGTCAATCAAAATTTCGACATTTTTCTGGCTGGCTTGTACTAGAATTTTACGGTGCTAAAAGAAAAAAAAAAACAAGTTTTAATCGTTTTGTGCACACTGCTAGCAAAATTTATTTTGCGTATCTAAATTTCGTCAGTATCTAATTTTAACTGGAGATCTGTACCAGGCTATTCAAGGAAGCTCATATCAACAAATACATCAAAATAAGTAACTTAACGCTTGCGGGTCACATCTGTCGAAAGGACCCTTCTTTCTTGACATTTAAGATCTTCATTTACAGACCAATGGGAATTAGAGTTGAATAGGTAAGCCTAAGATCAGTTGGCTTGACTTGTGGAAGAGGATTTCAAAATCCTAAGAATTACTAACTGAAGATAAACCGCATAGAAATGACCAGAATGGAGGAAGGTTCTAGGGAAGGATGTGGCCCATAAAGGGCTGTCATAACAATAGAAGAAGAATATCTGTAACTAATGCTAATAACAAGGTATAATTGTTTCTTAAACTGTGAGAGAGAATTTCTTCGTCATTTTTATACCCAGTTGGAATTTTAAAGACTTTTTAGAAGCAACCTACTTAAAAAAAGGGGGGAGAGAGAGAGGAAATAGTAAAATGAAATTTTAAAACTACGTTTTTACCGGTACACTAAATACCAAAAACATAAGGGGTAAGGTGCATAAATGTTCCGTGTCAATCAAAAATCAACACCTTCTTCGTTTTCCGAAAAATCATGCGACCTTTACTTTCTTCTATTGTAGACAAACGGAAATAGAATAATTTTTTGCCGTTTATTCTATTTGTGTAGTTCTTAATTTTTTTAAAATTTAATTTTATTATTATTATTATTATTCGAATTCATACATTTCTTTATCATTATTCTTTTTGGTGGCACATAAATAATAATTTTCTTGAATTTTTGCGGAATTACAATGATTTTCATTACAAAGTTTTATGCGAACATTGAAGGAAAATAGAAGCAGACACAGTCCTCTTTAATTGCTTTAAAAATCTAAAGGGCACTGGTTACCCTGGTAAAATATGGATAAAGGACTGCTTGTAAAAACTTATAGAAGTATCAAATTAAAAATCTTAAAAAAATGATAGCTGTTTTTTTAATTAAAAAAATTTTTGAATTTTTTGGACACAAACTGTACGAACCTGTACAGTTAAGAAAAAAAAATCTGAAAATTACCCAAAATCTAAAAATATTAACCAAATGTAATATAACCATAAAGTAAAAAGTTAAAACATTTTCTAGATTTTAAAAATCATGAGTAGCAGTGTAAAAATCTTATATATATATATGCCCAGGGGAAAATATGGAGACAAATGACTATCTGATACTAAGATACTTCATAAAATATCAAATTAACCCTTTTGCCCAGAATTTTCATTAAACATATTTTTCTTGCTTTTATCATTATTTTGTATTAATTTAAGTTAAAATAAGTGAAAAATATTACATTTAGCGTTTTAATACTTTATGGTTATGAAATACAGCAATAAACTTCAAAACACGGCTCACTTCCAAACATTAACTTTTCAAATTTGCACTTACGTATTTGCAGTTATTTAGGCCTAAGAGAAATAGTTACGTATCATTTAAAAAATTTTAATTTACAAAATCAATTATTGATAAATTTTGAATATGAATGAAAAAAAAATTTCACTTCGATTTTATATTTTACTGCAAGGGTCACTGGTGAATTTATTTTTTATTTTTAATTACTTTTTATTATTTTTTAAGAATTTTTTATGACACAAACCCTATAAATTTTCACCGTACAAAAATATTAAAAATTAAAATAGTAATAAAAACCGGTGATTTAACCATGCAGTAAATAGTTAAAAATTATCGATCCCTAGATTTGGAGTAGTCATGTAAAAATCTTTTATTAAAAAAAGAATTTTATGCCTAAGAAAATAGTTTTTCTGTAGGTTTAAAATTATTTAATACAAAGTACAAAGTAGGTAAAAAAAATTTTTTTTCAATATAATTAAAAGTGACAAAGCTTATGAAAAAAAGGGCCCATCAGTAAAAGCCATCCTTCACATCGAAAAATAAAATATTTGAAGAACATTAGAAGCAGAGGAGGGTATTGTGATGGAGGCAGCAATGGAATTGGGCAAATTTTGTTCCAATATTTTTTACAATTAATATTGTTACTTAATATCCATATCTCGTATTTTAAAAACACAGGTAACAAAACAATTAAAGAAAAAGAAATTACTGCATTTCTTAAATTTTAAAACTGAAACTGTTCTTTTTTATAACAGGTTTCCGCTATAATTATTTTTAAGAAAAAAAAAATTAAGAAAATAGTTCTTCAAAGCAAAAATTAATATGAAAATTAATTACAATCAAACTATTTGTATTCCATAAATCATTATACCAGGGCTCGAAATTTTCCCTCGCCTGCGACAAACTATCTCGGGCCGGAGAAAGAGAGTATGAGAATTTGACTAGAGTAACAGATAATTAACTCCAACATAACAGAATTACAGAGAGCTGCAACTGACAAGTGGTATTTTAATGCCGAAAGATAGTGTGAGACAAAGACAAAATGTTTAAAGTAAGGAGAACATTTCTGATGTCTTAATTTTCCGATACTTTTTTCTTATTTTAATGATATGTCGATGATATTAAAACAATTGAGACCGTATGGCAATCTTATTCTAACTTAATATTATTATTATTGCTTTTCATTACCATTTTTATTATTTTGGTCACAAAATAGTTCTTTGTACTACGTCTGTTAACGCATTAAAAATTGTTCACATTATTCGTGAAAATAGCACCGAACAAAAGGTTTAGTCAAAGTTTAAAAGAAAAAAGTTTAGTTAAAAGTTTAAAAGAGCAAACCTTGGAAATTTCATGCCCTGATTTTCACGATAGTTTGCGGTTTGTTTGAAATATTTTAAAAATTATTGTAAAAATTTTGTACTTTTCACTATTATTTTTTTGCAATAATTAAAAAGAAAGCATAAATATTGATTATTTTTAGCGCTAGAAGTAAAACACTAGTGCTTAAGGTACAATGCTTTTCTTAAAGGTACAAATCCTTCACCATTCACATTATATAAGGAAACATGATATTTACATAAAAGTTGGAGATTATTCTTATTGTACATGAACTGAATAACTTTTTTTTCCTACTAAATAAAGACATTAACCTTCCTCAAATATATGTTGTTTTAAGATCTTCAAGGATTACCCATGCTTTATAACTCAGACAATAAAAAGGGTTGAATTCCCTTGGTATTCTTCAAAGAATGCAATTACGAACATTTCAATTTTGTATATCTGAAAGAAAAGATCTCTTAACAAGCCTTTTGTTGAGGTCACATGCAATATTTTTATTGACTGTTACTCAATCAATAGCAACGCAATAAGCTCGTTTACAATTACAAATGATGATCTATCGCTTAATTTATTACCTATCGTTAAAATTTACTACAATATTCAAATTATCAATCTTTCGGGTTTTGAGTGATTGCGAAAATATGTTAGTGAACATCGAAAAAATACAACAAGACCTTAAATTAAAACAAAATAAAAGAACAAAAAGGCTTAACAGTTACCAGTAACCACCACTGTTCCTCAAAGATTAAAATTCTTATGCGTAAAATCGATTAAAGAAGCTATTAATACATAAATTATACAACTCTATTAAACACATTTGAATTCTTGAAATGTTGTATTCATTTGCTGAGTGAATTATGACTATTTTTTAACAGTCTAGACCAGGGAATGAAATTTCAGTTCTGAAGGTACTAGCCTGAATTAAAATTTTGGTCAACCCTATTTGCACATAAAAACTCGAACAATTTTGAAAGTGTTAATAGGTGTAGAGACTAAAACTATAAGGGAATGTAGAAACTGACAAGTTGAAAAATGTTCATTGATAATAATAATAACAACTCAAAATAAGGTTGATGTAAAGTTTCCAATATCAAGAAATATCATTAAAATAAAAAAATAACAGAAAATTCAATTATCAGAAAAGTTTTCATGCTTTTAATGTTTAATGTTTGTAAATTGCTGCTATTCGGCTATAAAATACTGTTTGTCAATTGTAGCCATTAGGGTCAAAGGGGAGTGGGTGTTCATAAGTTTCATTCTGATTTATGACGTGCAAACGGAGACCCTCAACTCTTGGGAAAGTATAGGAGTTTGATTGTGAAACACAATGTTTTGCAATACAAAGCTTTCTCGCCACACATAAATATTTAATCGCCAATGGCGTGCAGTTGAGTGGAAATTTCAATTTCGCCCCTTGGTAAATACTCTTCAAAATCAATGTGCTAGTGGGAGTTATTCTTTATATTTTTCTGTTTTTTCTTACTTGTTTTCTGCAAACTCAATTTCTTAGCATATTTCAAATCATTTAATAGAAGAACATACTGTCATTGTAGATTATATTCCAAATATCTAACTTGAGTTTAGCTATCAAGAACTCTAGCTTGTATAAAAGAGTTTGTATCAAAATGCAGTGCTAGAAAATATAATGTTTGTATCAGTATTACGTGCTTTTATATATACATATTTTGGTGCAAATATTACAGTTATTATTTAATAAATATTTCCCAATTCAAACCATGTAAAACCTAACATGAATTTGTAAAATGAAATGGTTGTCTCTCCTGAAATAATTTAGAAATAATCCAGAATAGTCTAAATTTATTAGAAATAGCTAAATTTTTTTATAAAACAAAAATAAGCATAATAATATTATAATTAATTTTGATTTTCATCTACTACATCAGGTTTTTATCTGCCACTTAAAGGTATGGAGAAAAGCTAATCTGAGGATTTAAATTAAGACCATCAATATATTCACACATTCCTATGTGTACCTCAATCATTTCTTTTTAATCTTATATCAGTACACTGGTTCAGTAGTTATGAGTCCTCAAATAAGTTTCTTTTCTCCCTACAGGTAAGGGCCAATAAAAACCTGATGTTTTCTATAATAAAAATGTCTTCTGAAACTGAAATTTTACATGAAATATTTAAAAGATGTTTGAAATTATTTTATTTAAATTACATTTTTTTTCTAGTTATATGCATTTTTTGCCGAAATGGGGGGGGGGGACTTAATTTGGTGGGTTGTCCCATTAGCCTTCAGAGGTAATAGGCATTCCGAGAAAGTTTTTGTTAAAATGGCTGAATTCCACAAAATTTACGATCATCTGTGCATTACGCATTTTTACAAAAATGTACACTCCAAATATCTCACTTTTGTTAATTTTTATTATTACATTAATAAATATAAAGTTGTAATAAATTTAATAACTAAAGTGGTAAGCGGTGGTTATAAGTTATTCCTCAAAGAAATTTTTTTGAAAAACTTCTTCTAAATCCAAATTTGCACATATTTCATCAGAATTTTAATTTCGAAATTAAAAAACAGGTCTGTACGTGCCCCGTCATGTTATAATTTCCAAGCCAATGTGTTCTCCTGTTGCTGCTAAAAGGGAGAATTATACAAATCCTCTCAAATAAATAAATAAATAGATAAAAATAAAAATTTGTTCACATTTTTTCGAAATCCTCCTTTAAACCTAGACTACTAAACTTTAATCAGTGTTACGCTTTAACTTCTTCCTCTTTTAAATCCGTTCATCAGCTCGTTCCCCAATGATTGCTTTTAATTTTTGTTTAAAAATCGACATTTCTTTTTTTTTTTTAAAAGACAATGTTGTTAATAAAATATGTAACTATTATAACTCTAAGAAGATTTTGTTATTATTTAATCGTAACGAAACAATATATTGCCTGAATGTGAAAAAAAAATCAACTGTACTTGAAAAAATTTAAAACTTAAAAACTCACACTGTATGATACAAAAATGATGTAATAGATGAGAAATAATTTTACTCGCACACGATATTTAACTAGAGCGTTATATCATTATAACAGTCCAAATTGGAAACGGTTTTTATCAAATTTAAATCAAGCTCTTTATAATTTTAAAATTTTCAGTATAAATGTGAAGATTTATATCTCGAAATATCTAATATCTCTCTCTTATTCTTTTTATTGCTTTCGGCATTATTTCAATTGTGAGCTTATAAAATAAAAGCCTCGAGAGCGATAAACAAAATTTCATACAGCAATAGATAAATAGTCACTACTTAAAGCAGAAAAAAGATAAAAAAATCATAAAAAAAACAGCAACTTAAAATTTTAATAGTATTTGAACAAATTAGAATTTCGATAAGAACTCGTGTTAAGTTCTTAAATTTCAACTCTGTAGTTGCATTTCTGCGAGCTGCAGAATAGCCCTCATCGTATATCTTACTACATTTTTTACATTCTTGAACTGATTATCAAGTGTTAAAATTTTTTATTAATTGTATCTGTAAATATTTTTCTTCTCATTTTCGTAATAATCAAGTTTTTAATGTTATAGTTTTTGTGTAGCGAAACAAAAAATAAAACAAAGTTAAACAACCAAAACAGCTGTGGAGCCGCTTACGATTCTTTTTTAATCAAGACAGATCTAGATAATTTAGATTATTGATAAACTATATATCTACTTTTTAAAGATGTTAAAGTGACACTTAAAATTTTCAAATCTCTGAAAAGTTGGTTGTTTATTAGACGAAACACGTAATTAAAACTTTAAAAAGCAGCATTTTATTGAATACAGTTATTTAATCGATGTTCTAATGGTGATTTCAAGGATGGCAACTATTAAAATTTAAACATTCTTTCGGTGGTATTTTACTGCTAACCTTCCGTCGCTACACTTATGACCCGAGGCTAAAAATCCTGGCTATTTTTCTAAGCTTTGTGATTGTTCAACGACTGAGACTACTGTTGAGTATTTTATAGCGTCACATTGAAAGGTTTGTTCTATTCTGTTCTGCGTAGCGACTTTTTTTCAGGTAAAAGAGCGAAGGTCGTCGTCCAGAGAACTCTCCAATCCTTTCTTATTGGACCTCGTTTAACACAGTAACTTTGAGAAAGCTCAAACTTGCCGAAAAAGAAGAAAAAGAAAACCAGCTAACCCAGTTTTCGTTTGATTTCTCGTACCGGACACGCAGACGATAACTGACTTGTGTTCTCGCTTTTCACCAGACCACACTACCAAAGCAAACATCAGCGTGGAACTTAATGATTATCGTATGTGCTTTATAGAAGTGGATATTATTTGTTTGTTTAGACTGGGTTAAGTCTTACGAGTCAGGTGAGTTATTTATTTTGTTTAAAGTTGCCTAAATACAACCTTGAAAAAGTTTTTTTGAATTTTTTATTTTTTTACTGACATTAAATATTATGTCATGTTACATTGAAGTTATTATTCTTAATGTTAAAGTATAAAAAATTCATTTCAAAATGCATAAAAAAACACGTATGGAATAGATATTACTATATGTATTATTGCTGCCTCAAATTTTGTTACACGATTTCAAAATTAACTTTCTAATTATATATTCTAGCGCTGTAAAAGAATTATTTATCAATCAAATGATGCGGCAAATAACATTTTATTTAAAAAGAAATTTTGAAATTGAAATTTGGAACACGATTAACGAAGCTCTGTTATTCATAGAATCGTTTGCTCAAAAAACCAACCTTGTTATTTTTGCCCATTTTGGAAAGTTGTTTCGTAACATAATATGACAAATAAAAAGATTATTATTTTTTTTTTGGTGAGATTGTATCTCACGAAATTTTTTTAATTGAAATTATAAATATAGATTATTCAAAAGTTAAAATTAAATGAGAAAACAGACATTATGAAATAAATTAACGTGAAATTTATTCAGACTCGAAAAGCCTAAAAGTTTCATTCAATTAAAGTAAGAATTTTTAGTTCTTATCATGTTCATGTTTATTTCTTTTGCTACCTTTCTTTAAAATATTTTAATTTATTTGGTAAAATGAGTTTGCGTTTGCTAATGAGGATATTTAACGTCAGCCCTGTGGTCATTGCATTGCAAGCAGGGATCTGCATACAGATTGAACAATTTTCTTTTCGAAAATTGTTTTATAAATAATATATAAAATGTTTCAAAATACCTTTTTTTCATTTTTTTTAAAAAAAATCTCCAATTTTTTAATGAAAAAAGTTAGGTTATAAGTAGGCATGAAATAGAGAGTTTTTATAAATTGCTGATAAATAAATGAATCATTCCGTTGCAAATTGGCTATCCAGCCTTTGTGGTGGGTTAAGTTTTCATATATTAAGACTTGGGCAGGGGTTATTCGATCGTGTGTTAGTGGTTCAGAATCTTTTCTAATGTAATATCAACGGAGCTTTCATAGCCGGAAAAATCCGCGCACGTTTGGGGAGCGTGGTGCGGAAGCCGGGTGATTGCTAACACCATCTGCATTCCGATCCATAGTAGCGGTTGGTGTGCGCACGCGCCAGTCAAATCATCATCAAATATAAATTACAAGTCGTCGCCAATAGCTCAATAGTGTAACTTTTGAGAGACGTTAAAAACCAAAACGTCTCAAATCAAATGAAGGAATCATGGATAATATAAAACAAGTTTCTCTGAATGTAACATATATTTATAACCTGACAACTATATTTCAATTTTAAAGTTAAACATAATTTTTTAAAAATATTTTTTCTTCAATTAAATTAAAAGAACGACATAATTAAAGCCTTTTAAGTTTTTTTCGTAACAGTTTTTTGAGAAATTGCTGTCAAACCAGTAATCATTGTAAATTTAAATGTAATATTGTAAAAAAAAAAACTTACTACATTTACGAAGAAAAAAAATGATAAGAGCCGATTATTATATTGCTAATAACAAAACATCAAACTCTTTAAAGCATAAAGTTGATCAAAAATACTTTTTAATGTACAATTAATTGCACAATTTAATCAAAATTCAGTATTACTATTTTGTTTATCCTTGTGAGAAATAAAGTTTTTTTGTTAGATTCATTAACGTTTCTTTAATTGCTTCTTTTTTTTCCTCCCTCGCAATTCTTCCCTTATTTGAAATTAGTATGTGAAGTTTCAAATCTATTTTTTTAAAGTTGACCTTAATATTAAAGTATTGAAACCTTAAAACTTTAAGTACCTATTTAATTAAAGGAACTACTGTTGCTTTTTTTTTTTCTAGTCATTTTGCAGAAAAATATCACAGTGTCTTTAAGTGATAATATAAAGCTATAAACTTTTCCAAAATGCGTTAGTTAAGTTTATTTTAACCAATTAAATGCAGAATTAAAAATATTTCTAATTTGATTACCTATAATAGTAACGCAATTATAATTGTAGAAAAAACAACGAAATTTATTTATTTTTCCTAATTTTTTTTAATAAATTTTTTATTTATAACTTATTTATCACTAGATTTTGCTCAAAGTGGAATCATAACTATCATGAAAAAACAATTTAATGTAACAATTGAAAGAGCAATTGAAATGTAATTTTCACAACACTTACATGGAGAAAAAAATAAACCGTACCGTACGGTACTGAGATTTGTTGAAAGAATGACACCATAAATCTGGTTCCAAAATCTGGTGTTTAAACCATTCATTTAGTAATTTTTCCGTTCATATGGTAAAGTTTTCCAGGAAATTCTGGTATTCAAAATTATAATTCTTATTACCCCACAATTAGATTAAAATATAAAACTGAAAAGTAAATTTAACGGAATAAATAGTTTTTATGCCATTTTCTAAGGTATCATGATAGAATTACCAAATTGTGCCCTATTTACATAATTTTATCACATATTACGAGACCATATTTTTTTGTTAGTGCTTCAGTAAAAATTACCGAGCTTTTTGGTGCTTCTACAGAGCCAGAAACAGGTAAAAATTTTCCATATTCTGGATGGTTTTTTCTTCTTTTTTTCCTCAGTGCATAAAAGCTAATTTTTAAAGTTCCCTTGAAATTTAATTAAGTAAAACTGACCATTTCATATGTATACAGGTATGATAAATAAACAAATTATTCTTATTACTGTGTTACTTGACCTAATTTAATTCATTGTTAATTTCAAATGTAGATTAAATTCCATTCAGGAAACATTTATCGAAAAGAAAATTCCAATTTCCTTCAATCACGCTGACCGTGATATCGCATGTTTGCGGAAATTGATTCGAACGTAACGAAAACCTCGCTTTAATGAAATTACTTTACAATTCACCCAAGAGCACGAATAAAAAAAGTAAAACACGTTCGGAAAATCTATGTACACCTATAATTTACGTAGTTTTACTAATGAAAACATTGCTTTACTCACCACACGTGTTTTTGACTTTATTTACTTTTTTTTATGAAATTATTTTGCGGGTGATTCCATAAGAATATTAAAACTAGACACGTGGGAACAAAGGAACGTTTTTATAAATATTAAAGCTTTGATTTAAATATATAATAAAGTTCATTTGCCTGGCTGCTATTTTTCACATATTTTTTATGCCAAAAGTTTTAAAAATATATATTATTTCATTTCCACCATATATCTAAATAATTTCCACAATAATTCCATTGGGGGTCATTCTGCAAGAATATTAAAATTAGAGACGTGAGAACAAAGAAACATTTTATTTAAATATGAAGCTTTTATTTCAATATATATTGTTTAAATTTATTTCCCTGGCTGCTATTTTCCACACATCTATTTTATTTAATGTCAAATGTTTTAAATATATATATTTTTTATGTTGTGGAAATTAAATTCGGTAAGAATTTCATTTCAGAAATACACTAACATAATTCCTATAATTTCTACAATATTTCCATTGTATGAATATTGAAATTAGAGAATTGAGAACAAAATGTCAGTTTATTTGAATATTAAAGCTTTAATATTCAAATTAATTAAAATAATTTAAAATAAATTTTAAAATTAATTATAATAAAAAATATTATTATCTAGTTGTTATTTTCTGCATTATTTTAGTAACTAACTTTTTTAAAATACATGCTTTTTATATTATTGAAATGAAATTGACTTTAAATTTTAGAAATTATTATTACTTTACTAACAGCTGTACTTTATTGCAGCTATTACTTTATTACAGCTATTACGTACTTTAACGGTTGCGTTAGACTAAGTTATTAGACTTATCTAAAAGTCATATACTTAATTGAAAGACGAATCTTACTAAACTGCAAAGTATTTTAAGAAATTAAGGGATTTCATATAGAAACATCAGCAATAAAACATTTAAAAAAGTTTTGTCAAGTAGAAATTGTTTTATTGATTACATTTGAAAAATCCTTGGAATTATAAGTCAGAAACATAAAACATTTATTATAAGTCAGAAACATAAAACATTTATGAACTATGATAGAGGTCCTACTAAAAGAAATTAAAACAGTTATTGAAACCTGTATGACAATAATTGTCTAAAGAAATGTTGCAGGTAATATTTATGTACAAATATTACGAATAAAAAATATTAATTTACTGATAAAAAAAGATCCGAGCTGAAATTATTAAATGAATTTAGTTTGAATCAGTAAACTGAACTGTGAGAAAACAATTCTAATATTAGCCTTTTTGTTTGTTTCTTGGGTTTTATTTTTAACATTTTGTGAAGTTATCTTTATTCCGCCATGTGTCTCCCATATATATTAACTCATTAATTTATGAGTAGAAAATAATTTACTAAAAATAAGGTACTCATTTAAATTATTTTTCGTTACATTTTCTTACAATAGTTCTTTAGAAGTAAATAAAACTTCGAAATCTTTTTTAGAAAAATGGGACTCGACATCAGTAAACTTTTTCTTCTTCTTAGAGCTAGTAAGTGAAGATTGAGTAGTTAATTAATAAAAATTGACTTAACAGTACCAAATCAAAAGGGGATCAAAATTAATTATCAGTGAAACATTTTTTAGAATATGAAAAAAAATCATTTTGTTAAAAATTTAGATGTTTCAAATATGTGACCAAAATATTTAATACAATCATAAATATTAATAAAAGGCAACCTACTTTTTTTGAATAAAAAGAAAGGCTTGTGAATTCAAAGCTTTATACTGTGAAGTTGTGAATTATCACGGTTTATTTTGCTTTATGTCTTTGTGCAAAGATGCGCTCACGCATAAACATCTCTAAACACAGTGGTAATCATTTCTCAAACAAGATTTCGCTGATTTATATCATATTGTCCCAGATCAGTGAATTCAAAAGTAAAGTTTAAATCAATAGACGAATAGTCTGTATTAATAGTTTGTAATTTCCAATTTGTTGGAATAGC